GCAGCCATCAAATGATGAGGCAGCCATCAAATGATGAGTTCGTGTCCTGTGTAGGGACATGGATGAACCTGGAAACCATCATTCTCAGCAAACTGACACAAGAGCAGAAAATCAAACACTGCATGTTCACACTTATAGGTGGGCGTTGAACAATGAGAACACAGGGACACAGGGAGGGCAGCATCACACACTGGGGTCTGTTGGTGGGAAATAGGGGAGGAATGGGGAGGTGAGGAGTTCGGGAGAGATAGCATGGGGAGAAATGCCAGATATAGGTGATGGGGAGGAAGGCAGCAAATCACACTGCCACGTGTGTACCTATGCAACTATCTTGCATGTCCCCCAAAACCTAAAATGCAAAAAAAAAAAAAAAAAAAAAAACAACCTATTTTGCAGAAAAAAAAGTAACAGTTGCATTTTCAAGACTTTGAAGCCAAAGATCGTTCATTCTCTAGTCATCTGACCCAGGAAAAAATAAATAACTCTTTGATAATTACATAATTTTGTTCACATATGTGCCTTTTATTTTTTGAAACCGAGTCTCTCTCTGTTGCCTAGGCTGGAGTGCAGTGGTGTGATCTCGGCTCACTGCAGCCTTCACCTCTGGGGTTCAAATGATTCTCTTGCCTCAGCCTCCTAAGTTGCTGGAATTCCAGATGTGTACCACCACGTCCAGCTAATTTGTTTGTATTTTTAGTAGAGAAAGGGTTTTGCTGTGTTGGCTAGGCTGGTCTCAAACTTCTGGGCTGCAGAGATCCACCTGCCTTGGTTTCCCAAAGTGCTGGGATTATAGGCATGAGCCACCACGCCTGGTCCATATGTGCCTTTCTTGTTATTTTTCTAAAACCTCTCTGAGACGAGAAAACAAATTTCCTTTTATTTTCTGAATTTATTTAATGTTTGTTTGCTCTTTATTTTGTTTAATAAATTTTGTCAGACAGCAAGGCAATATTTATGCAAAATTAAAAAATCAAACCATTCCACAATTTGGCTGCAGCCTATTTTTCTTAATGTATCTTCTAATACTTCTCTTCATCAACCTTCTACCCATTATAGTCTGGTCTATCAACTCTGATCAAAACATATGATGCTCATTTTCTCCTTATATTCTTCGCTTATGTCATTCTAACTGAAATATTTCTTCTGGCCAGTTTCCAGTTCTTCTTTTCAAATTTTCTATTTAAATTCTGTCTCCTTCATGAAGCTAGCTCTAATTGATTTAATAGCACATATTGTTTATTCTGCTTATTTGAAATATAATTTCATATAATTTTTATAAGATAGCTTTGTACTGCCAGGCTCAAAGCCCAGAATCTGTATTTCCCAGAATCTTCTGCCAGTAGGATTCTGGTAAATGTCTTCCAGTGAGAGAATTTCTTTCAAGATTTGGAAGGCAGAGGAAAAGACAATGCTACTTTGGATATTATGGCTGGTACATTGACCTGACTGAGAGCAAACAGATCAGAAGCCAATTTTTACATTTTCCAGTGAATTTACTGTCAACTTCCTTCAAGCCACAACAAACCAACTAAAAGCAACCACCACTACTATCATTAAAAAAAAAAAAATCAGCCCAGACTAAACAAGCCTTTGTCGTTCAAGGCTTAAAACAATCCTTGAATCACCAAACTTTCGTGAGCTGTAGGAAAGCTGCACAGTTGAAGGAACATGCTTCCTATTTCCACTCCCAGGAGAATAATGACAAGGAAAGGAATCACAGAGGGTGAAGGCAGCAGCCAGAAAGAAAATAGACAATGGAATTCCTTGCAGAAAACAGAATCTCGGTCTAGTCAAGAGCCTCCCTTACTTTCTGTGTGTGTGTGTGTGTGTGTGTGTGTGTGTGTGTGTGTGTGTGTTTACTGGGGTGTGAATGGAATTGTTCAGTGTGGTTACACTGCTCCATTTGTATATGGCAATGTGTGTGTGGAGGGAGGGACAGGCAATTTGTCTTTTTATTTCATAGATTCTCAGACCAAGAAGAGCCATGTCTAGACCAGCTGGAGTACTCCTGTATCACCAAGCAATTCTGGTCTTGTAAGCTGGTTGTAATGGCTGGTTGGTTCTTTGGATTTTCATTTTTGTAGAGGGAGTAAATTTTTTTTTGCATCATAAAATAAATGGGAAAATATAGGTGATGAACAGAAGGGTGGGTTGTGGCAATAATACTACATATTCATCAACCCCTATTTCATTCCTTCTTCTGTGCTAACTGGAAAATGACATTTCCCAGACTTCCAAGAATGCTACTGAGTTCTGGAATGTAAGTAGAAGGGACAAGTATCACTTCTGTGCTGTGGCAGTTACGGACCTGTGAACTTTGCACATGCCTTCTATCTTTTTTTCAGTGTCAATTTCAGAAGCCATGTTTTCAGATGACACAGGTAGAAGATAGAAGCAACCCGTGACCAGAATCACTGCTTAGGGTCTTGCTGCTTAGGAATCCCACTCTACCTGCATCAGACTGTGGAAGGACTGAGAAATACACTGATTTTGAATATAGCCCATACTATAATTGGGATGTTTGTTACAGCAGTTAGCATTAAAAACCTTGGATAGGCATTGGTCATAATTGTAGAACAAAGCTAATGAAGGGAAACTGGAATACAGAGGTCAGTGAGAACTTTAGGGTTAATGAAAAACAAGGGCAACCAGGATAATCTGGTTCTTGCCAAATAGGAACATAAACCAAAGGTAGATTGGAGGTCAGAAAATCAGTTCAGCACATGTGATATTTTCATGTAGTTGCCTGTATGTCTGTCTGGTCTCCAGTTCAGCCTGGCTGCTTGAGGTAAGAGGCAGTGCCTGTTCACCTTTGCATCCCAGCATCTGGCACAGATTAGATGGGATGAAATGTTCAAACTGAGCCTAAGCTTCAGGGTGCTTATCAAAGCAGGGCAGATATGCGAGAGGAGATGATTCAGGTGGAGGGCTGGTCAGGGGTCAGATATCTAAACCCAGGATTTTAGGAAGCTGGATCCTCAGAACCAGGGAGAACAGGCTGGATATGCACTGGATTTCCCAGCAGCACTGATCTAGAGACTCTCATAGAGTCCCTTTCATTCCTGGCCTAGGGTTACAACTACTTATAGCATCTGAAAAGATGCTAAGTACAGAAACAGGGGTTAAATGAGCAAAATTATTAACATTTAAGAAATTAGGTACACCAAGATATGCCATATTTTGTATTATTGTTTAAACTTACTATTAAGCCTTGTATTAATTTTTAATATGACAGCACATATGTTATAAAATTTGACAAAACATAGGAAAATCCTATCCAAATAATTAAACTTACGTTTCATTAATTCTAATGAGATTCTAAAAATTCTTCAAATAGATTAGTAGTATGCTTATAATAGAAAATATAGTCATATATGGGACTCTAATGATAAATCAACAAAGCTTTTTTTTCCCTTTAAACTTATGTTACTAAGCATTGAAGAAAGAGCTTTGCAAAGTGACTTCCCAAGATAGTGGAAGAGGCAAAAGAGAAAACAGAGAACTTTATCAACCGGCACCTACAGGGAAGAGAGCAAAATATGTAGTTTTCTATTTCCATTAAAAGATGGAGCATTCTCTACTAAATAAAATACACACACATTCATACACATAAACACATGGGAGTGGAAAAAGCAGAGGGGAAATTAGCGAGAAAAGCTCAAACAAATTAAAGAAAGACACGAACACACAAACCCCAAAATATTAAATTTTAGACAGCATTATGTATTCAATAGTTACTAAACCCTTTCTAAATAAAAACTGTAATAAATTTGAGTAGATATTTGAAAGAGCAAAATTCCATTCCCCCCATCATCCACACAATGTAACATTCACCATGTTCATATGAAATAAAAAAACATAATTGATTCCTTCATTCTTTCACTCTTGAGCATTTATTGAGGATCACTATGTGCCTGGCATTCTGAAAGTATTACCAAAAACAAACAGGAAGAAGGGGAGGAAATGGCATGATCCTAAAGGAGAACTCTCTAATGTTATAAAGGACACTCAACACATCAAAAGAGACTTTTGTAGATGGAGCAAATACAATCATGGAATTGATCATTAACCTTCAATATCACAATCCTTAAGAACCATATTTAAAATACATGTCTATGGAGGAAAAGCTGACAGACATGAGAAAACAAAGGTCTCCATGTGGACAATAGATGCAGAGAAGAAAGGAAATAACAATCAGAGATCAACGAAATAGGAAACAAAGATACAGTAGAGAATCAACAAAAATAAAACCTGGTTCTTTGTAAAGTATAATTAAAATAGACAAATTTCTGGCAAGCCCAATCAGGAGCCAAAAAGAGAAGGTTCCAAGAGAGAATACTACAAATGAAAAGAAGTTTATAACTACAGATAGAATATTTTATAAGTAAGAGCTAACATCAAAATATTTATGCTGATAAACTCAATTACTTAAAATAGACAATTTCCTAGAAAACATATCAAAACAAATTCAGAACAGAAATGTGAATAGACCTATATCCATAAAATAAATTGATTATTAGTTAAAAGCCAATTTACCAAAACAAATAGAAAACAAAAACATCAAGACCAAATAAATCAGTAAGCACTACCAGACCCACAAAGTTTTGTAAGTACATTCTACCAAATATTAAAGCAATTGATAGTCTCAATCTTAAATTGTTTCAGAGATTAGAAAAAAGAGACTTGGGCCAGGCACAGCGGCTCATGCCTATAATCTCAGAAGTTGGGAGGCTGAGGCAGGTGGATCACTTGAGCTCAGGAGTTTGAGATCAGCCTAAATAACATGGCAAAACCACGACTCTACAAAAATTACAAGAATTAGTCAGATGTGGTGGCATGTGCCTGTAGTTCCAGCTACTCAGGAGGCTGAACTGGGAGGCACGAGCATGGCAGATTGAGGCTGCAGTGAGCTGTGATCATGCCACTGCACCCCAGCCTGGGTGACAGAGTGAGACCCTGCCTCAAGAAAAAAGAAAAGAATAAGAAAAAGAAAGAGGTGGGTTTGCTGCATCACGCAAGATGGCGGCCACGGTGGTGAACGGTGCGGTCGGCTTCTCAAGCTCTGGGGCTGCAGCACCTTCGGGTGCTGTCCTGCAAGCTGCGGCCAGCATGTACAAGCAACTCAAGGGTGAGTGGAACCGTAAAAGCCCCAATCTTAGCAAGTGTGGGGAAGAGCTGGGCCGGCTCAAGCTAGTCCTTCTGGAGCTCAACTTCTTGCCAACCACAGGGACCAAGTTGACCAAACAGCAGCTTATTTTGGCCCAGGACATACTGGAGATTGGGGCCCAGTGGAGCATCCTCCACAAGGACATGCCCTCCTTCGAGTGCTACATGGCCCAGCTCAAATGCTACTACTTTGATTACAAGGAGCAGCTCCCCGAATCAGCCTACATGCATCAGCTCTTGGGCCTCAACCTCCTCTTCCTGCTGTCCCAGAACTGGGTGGCTGAGTTCCACACGGAGTTGGAGCAGCTGCCTGCCAAGGACATCCAGACCAATGTCTACATCAAGCACCCTGTGTCCCTGGAGCAATACCTGATAGAGGGCAGCTACAACAAGGTGTTCCTGGCCAAGGGAAACAGCCCCACCAAGAGCTATACCTTCTTCCTCGACATCCTGCTGGACACTATCAGGGATGAGATTGCTGGGTGTGTGGAGAAGGCCTATGAGAAAACCATTTTCACTGAGATCCAAGATGGCCGATCACTAGCAGCTCAGGTTTGTAGCTCCCAGTGAAAGCGCAGAGAATGAGAGGATGCCACACTTTCAGACGAATTTTTGTTGCTCAAGGACCAGGAGATTCCCAGTGGAGGAGCCCCACAGGTCGCCAGCATGACTCTTGCAGCTGGCGCTGCGGTTTTGCTGGTGCCCCAGCACAGTGGTTCTTGGTGCAGAGTAAATTGGACTGGTTCCCCTTTTGGCCGATGTTTGGAGCTGACTCAAGAAGGGACTCAGGAGGGAAGCCAGACGGGAGACTCCTGGACAGAAAAACACCAAGAATCTTGATGCCGCTGTTTTAGCCGGTGCAATGGGTTGCTCAGATTTCGGCCCTGGGAATTAACAAGTTGGACGTCCACTAAGAGACCTAATTTGAAAGTTGGTAATTACAAAGACGACAGGTGGATAAAGTTACAATGATGGGAAGAAACCAGCATAAAAAGGCTGAAAATACTCAAAATCAGAATGCCTCTCCCTCTACAGAGGATCACAGCTCCTCATCAACAGGGGAACAAGGCCTGATGGAGAACGAGTGCATTCCATTAACAGAATCAGGCTTCTGAAGGTGGATAATAAGAAACTTCTGTGAGTTAAAAGAACATGTTCTAGCCCAATGTAAAGAAACTAAGAACTTTGAAAAAAGGTTTGATGAAAACCTAATGAGAATAGACAATCTAGAGAGGAATATAAATGAATAACTGGAACTGAAGAATACTATATGGGAACTCCGAGAAGTATGCACAGGTTTTAACACTCGTATTGATCAAGCAGAAGAATATCAGAGGTTGAAGAACAACTTAATGAAATGAGAAGACAAGATTAGAGAAGAAAAAGTAAAAAGGAATGAGCAAAGTCTCCAAGAAATATGGGACTATGTGAAAAGACCTAATTTACGTTTGATAGGTGTACCTGAATGCGACGGAGAGAATGAATCCAAGCTGTAAAATATTCTTCAGGATATTATTCAGGAAAACTTTCCTAACCTAGTAAGGTGGGACAATACTCATCTCCAGGTAATACAGAGAACACCACAAAGATATTCCTCAAGTAGAGCAACCCCAAGACACATAATTGTTAGATTCACCAGGGTTGAAATAAAGGAGAAAATTCTAAGGGCAGCTAGAGAAAAAGGTAAGGTTACCCATAAAGGGAAGCCTATCAGACTTATAGCAGATCTCTCAGCAGAAACCCTACAAGCTAGAAGAGAGTGGGGGTTAATATTCAATATCCTCAAAGAAAAGAATTTTCAACCTAAATTCTCATATCCAGCCAAACTAAGCTTTATAAATGAAGGAAAAATAAAATTTTTCACAAACAAGCAAGCACTCAGAGATTTCATCACCACCAGGCCTGCTTTACAAGAGCTTCTGAAAGAAGCACTACACACAGGGGGAACTATCCAAGATGGCCGATCACTAACATCTCGGGATTGCAGCTCTCAGTGAAAGCGCAGAGAACTAGAGGACGCCACACTTTCAGACAGATTCTGGTCACTCATGGAGCAGAAGATCCCCAGTGGAGGAACCACACAGGTTGCCAGCGCGACTCTTGTGGCCGGTGCAGTGGTTTCACTGGCACCTTGGCACGGCAGCTCTTGGAGCAGAGTAAACAGGGCTGGCTCCCCTTCTGACCGAGGTTTGGAGGACCCACACGGGTCCCCAGCATGACTCCTGAGGCTGGCGCAGCGGCTGTGATGGCACCTCGGCGCGGCAGCTCTCAGCGCAGAGTAAATGAGACTGGTTCCCCTTCTGACCGAGGTTTGGAGCCCCAGGAAGGCAGAGTCGCCTATTACGGACACAAGAAGGAAGCCAGACAGGAGAATCCTAGGCAGAAAAGCAACATCAGTCTTAACACCGCCGTTCTGGCCCTGGGAACTAACAACTTGGACGTCCACTCAAGAGACCTAATCTGCAAGCTGGTAATTTCAAAGATGACAGGAGGATAAATTTACAACGATAGGAAGAAACCAGCATACAAAGGCTGAGAATACTCAAAATCAGAACGCCTCTCCCTCTAAAGATGATCACAGTTCCACATCAACAATGGAACAAGGCTTGATGGAGAATGAGCGCATCCCAATAACAGAATCACGCTTCAGGGAATGGATAAGAAACTTCTGTGAGTTAAAAGAACATGTTGTAGCCCAATGTAAAGAAAGTAAGAACTTTGAAAAAAGGTTTGATGAAATCCTATTGAGAATAAACAACTTAGAGAGGAATATAAATGAATTAATGGAACTGAAGAATACAATACAAGAACTCTGAGAAGTATGCACAGGTTTAAACACTCGAATTGTTCAAGCAGAAGAAAGGATATCAGAGATCAAAGTCCAACTTAATGAAATAAAACAAGAAGACAAGATTAGAGAAAAAAGGATAAAAAGGAATGAGCAAAGTCTCCAAGAAATGTGGGACTATGTGAAAAGACCAAATTTATATTTGATAGGTGTACCTGAATGTGGCGGAGAGAATGAATCCAAGCTGGAAAATACCGTTCAGGATATTATTCAGGAAAATTTTCCTAAAGTAGCAAAGCAGGTCAATATTCAACCCCAGGTAATACAGAGAACACCACAAAGATATTCCTCAAGAAGAGCAACCCCAAGGCACATAATCGTTAGATTCACCAGGGTTGAAATAAAGGAGAAAATACTAAGGGCAGCCAGAGAGAAAGGGCAGGTTACCCACAAAGGCAAGCCTATCAGACTTACATCAGATCTCTCAGCAGAAACTCTACAAGCCAGAAGAGAGTGGGGGCCAATATTCAACATCCTTAAAGAACAGAACTTCCAGCCCAGAATTTCATATCCAGTCAAACTAAGCTACACAACTGAAGGAAAAATAAAATCTTTTATGAACAAGCAAGTACTCAGACATTTTATTACCACCAGGCCTGCTTTACAAGAGCTTCTGAAAGAAGCATTACACACAGAAAGAAACAACCAGTATTAGCCTTTCTAAAAATATACCAAAAAGTAAAGAGCACCAACATAAAGAAGAATTTACATCAACGAATGGATAAAACAGCCAGTTAGCATCAAATGGCAGTAACCCAAAATTTAAATCGACTAAATCTCCCAATCAAAAGACACAGCCAAAACCCAACGGCATGTTACATCCAGCCCTGTTTCACATGCAAGGATACACAAAGACTCAAAACAAAGGGATGGAGAAACATTTACCAACCAAATGGAGAGCAAAAATAAATAAATAAATAAATAAAAAGCAGGAGTTGCAATTCTCATATCGGATAAATAGATTTTAAAGCAACAAAGATATAGTGGTAAAAGGATCAATGCAACAATAAGAGCTAACGATCCTAACACCCAGATACATAGAGACTTAGATTAAATGAGACAGAAAATTAATAAGGATATCGAGGACTCGAACTCAGATCCGGAACAAGTAAACTCAATAAATATTTATAGAGCTCTCCACTTCAAATACACAAAATATACATTCTTGTCAATACCACATCACACCTACTCATAGGTTTAAATGAAACATTGATTGGCCATTATTAATACCCATTTTTTTTCAGAATAAAGCAATATTTCCATTCACCCTCCCTCTTTCTCTTCCTCTTTCTTCCTTTCCTTTACTCATTTTTTTTCTTTCCTTCTCTCTTTAAAAAAAAAAAAAGAAAAAAAGAAATCAGCTTGTAAACCTCTAGATCCAGGTCGGCAATGTCTCTCTCATTGCTTGATTTCCTTCCTTCCCTTTCCTCCTTCCCTCCCTCCCTCCCCCCTTCTTCTCTTCCTTCCTTCCTTCATCCCTTCCTTCCTACCTCCCTTCCTTCTTCCCTCCCTTCCTGCCTTCCTCCTTCCCTCCCTTCCTCCCTTCCAAAAAAAAAGAAGCACTACACACAGAAAGGAACAACCAACAACCAGTATCAGTCATCCCAAAAACTTACCAAAAGGTAAAGAGTATCTCCATAATGAAGTATTTATATCAACTAATGGGCAAAATAGCCAGCCAGCATTAAATGATAATATTAAACTCACAAATATCAATATTAATCCTAAATTTAAATGGATTAAATGCCCCAATCAAAGACACAGACACGCAAACTGAATAAAAAGTCAAAACACATCGGCACTCTGTATCCAGATCCATCTCATAAGCAAGGACACACAAAGACTCAAAAGGTTGGAGGAAGACTCACCAATTAAATGGAGAGGAAAGAAAAACAAAACAAAACAAACAAACAAAAAAACAGGAGTTGTAAATTTCATCTCTGACAAAATAGACTACCATAGTAACCAAGACTCAAAGAAACAAAGAAGGACATTACATAATGATAAAAAGATCAATGCAACAATAGGAGTCAATGATCATAAATATATATGTACCCAATATAGGGGCACCCAGATTTATAAGACAAGTTTTCAATGACTTATAAAGAGACTTGGAGTCCCACACTAATAACAGGAGAATTTGACACCACATTGTTAATTCGACAGATCAATGAGATAGAAAATTAACAGAGACATTTATGATTTGAACTCAGACCTGGAACAAGTAAACTCAGTGAATATTTATAGAATTCTTCACCCCAGGTCCACAGAACATACTTTTTTTTAGTATCACATTACACCTATTTTGAAAGTGACCACATAAATGGAAGCAAATCACTCTTCAGCACTTGCACAGCATTTCACAGATTTAAACTAAATATTGGTTGGCTGTTTGTTATTTTCTTTCCTTATTCCCTCCTGTCTCCGCTGTTAAGCACAATCATCAGCAATAAAAGAGGTTTTTAATACCTATTTCTAGATTGCATTCCAGCCTGGGCAATAGAGCAAGACTCCTGTTCTCTCTCCCCCTTTTCTCTTTCTCTTTAAAAAAAAAAGAAAAAGAAAGAAAGAAGAGGAACTCTCTCCAATTCATTTTATTAGGCTACACAACATTTATACCTAAAAAGTATTTAGAGCAAAACATACTTAGAAACATGGATACAACCATATTAAAAAAAAATCAGCTACTCAAAACTCATAAGACATTTAAAAATATGTATCTAGGCCAGGTTGAGAACTGGTTTATTCCAGTGATAAACTGGCTGAAGGTTAGAAAAATCTCTCAATAAAACTCCTCATGATAAAAGAGTAAAAGAGAAAAGCCATACAATTATCTTAACAGATGCAGAAGAAAACATTGCTAAAATTTAACTAATTTAAGACAAAAACTCTTAGCAAACTACAGATATGAAAGAGCCTCCTTAAAATCATAAAGCATACCTACCAAATACAGCAAATGTCATAAAGCCAGTAATAAGCAGATATATAAAGGAAAACAGATATAAAAACACACTGGCTGGGCACAGTGGCTTAGCCTGTAATCCCAGAACTCTGGGAGGCCAAAGTGGGAGAATTGCTTAAAGCCAGGAGTTTAAAACACACCTGGGCAATGATGGAAAACCCATCCTTACAAAAAATAAAACAATTAGCAGGGTATGGTGGTCACTTGTAGTCTAAGCTACTTGGGAAGCTGAGGCAGGCGTATCATTTAAAGTCGGGAAGCTGAGGTTTCTGTGAGCCAAGACTGAGCCGCTGCACTCCAGCCCGGGCCACAGACAGAGCAAGATCCTATCTTCTAAAAGAAAGAAACAACAACAAGAAAAATACTGACACTAACTACTTTCAAACAAAATAAAAGGAACAGTTGAATAATTTCAAGTCCTTATTAAGGGTCCACTAAGTGTCTGGCATTCTAAAATAATTATTTTTTATTTGTCAAGATCATATTTAAAAATCATATGTAGAAATTTCCCCTTAAAATCAGGGAGTAAGTCAAGGAGGCATGCTATCACTGCTTTTACCTAACCTTGTACTAAACACACTACCAACACAGTAGGACAAACCAAAAGAAAGAAAACAAGTTAAATGATAAAAGCCTTGAAAAAGAATAAACAATGCTTATTATTTTTTGCTGATACTACATTATTTTTAGTTGCTGTAACATTGATTTACTTGGTTACATTAAAAAAATCTTTTATACATTTTAAGGTACTATATTTAACATGAATATAGTAAATATATGAATATAGAAAAACCTGACAAAAGGTACTTTGAATACACACAACTGATAATAGCTAACAAGCAAACTCTTACAAATCAATAAAAGTGATAATCCAATAGTAAAACTGTCAATGACAGAACAAAGCAACACACAAATTAATCATCACAGATACGATCAAAGCTTAATAAACACAGGACAACATAAACATATGAAAAGCTGCCCATCTGTATTAATCAGGATAGACTTCATTATGATAAAGTTACAAATTAAACCCCAAATCTCAGTAGCTTCACAAAACAGGTTTATTTTTGGTCATGACACAGATCCAATGCAGGATGACAGGGGGCTCTGCTTTGCAAAGAAACTAAAAGGTCCATGCTGCACTGTGCAGCTGCTGTACAATAAGATCCAGTTCAAGAGTTATGCATACTCTTTTGAATTCTCTGCTCCTGAAGTAACACTAAAAGTAGTTGACCGGCCCCACCTAACTACAAAGGGCTGGGAAACACTTGGATATTCAGTGTCTCTGGCACAACTAGAAACTAGAGCAATTCAAATTAAGGCAATAGCAAGACGCATCTTAAAGCCTGAGGAAAAACAGTAACAACAAAAACTCCTATTACCAAGGACTGGTGAGGAAGTGAAAAATGGAAGCAATCATATACGGATGTTAGCATGTAAGTTGATGCAACATCCTAAGAGAGCATTTGTAATTACCTGACAAGTTAAAGATGCACATGCTGATGATCTAATATTTCCACATGTGCATAGGATGAGTAATGTGAAAATTAGTCACTTAAAAATGTTTGTAATAGCAAAATATTGGAAGCGACTTAAATGTTGGAGACAATCTAAGTATTGGAGAAAAATTAGAATAACAACCATATTTTTACTGAAAGTTAACATTGACAGCATTTTGAATAGAAAAAAAAGGAAGTCACAGTACACTGTGTACTATTTTTATACAATGTTTTAAAACCTGTAAAACTATAACATATATTACATATAGATATATAGATATGCAATGCTCCTATAATAGGCATGAAAATGGTAAGTATTAATTTTAACCTATTTTTATATTTTGAGACAGAGTCTCATTCTGTCACCCAGGCAGGAGTGCAATAGAGATCTTGGGTCACCGCAACCTCTGCCTCCCAGATTCAAGCAATTCTAGTGTCTCAGCCTCCTGAGTAGCTGAGATTACAGGCATGGGCCACCATGCCTAATTTTTGGATTTTGAGTAGAGACACAGTTTTGCCAAGTTGGCCAAGCTGGTCTAGAACACCTGGCCTCAAATGATCCACCCACCTCAGCCTCCTATGGTGCTGGAATTACAGGCATGAGCCACTGCACCTGGCCTAATTTAATTTTTAAATAGTGTTACTTTGAGAGAGGAAAGATGGTATATTAGGATAGATTAGTCACACCCTTTAATTCTAAAGCTACTCATATCCTTTAATTGTAATACAGATAATAAAATCTAAGAAAATACTATTCCATATTCAAAAGTTATTCTTTATTATAGCACTTCTATAGTTGCTTTTTATACTAATGATAAATTAGAGTCTTAAATATTCAAAATGACTAAATATGATATGACAACACATGAAATATTGTGATTAGATGAGATAAAATACATTAAGTAGTTGGTACAATGCTTGGCACTTGACTGATACTAGTTATCATTATCACCGCTATTTCTATTACTACTATGACTATTACTTTTACTAAAACAATAAGCATACAAACTAGTTTGATGCATGGAAACCCATAATATAAATAATGGTAACTGGAAAAAACAGAATACTAATTATAATGTATATGTTAATGAAAGAAATATAAAATGTATGCATGCTCACTAATACTGATTTTAAAATAACTTGAAAACTTGGTAAAATTCAATGTTTATTAAGTCATTTTGTAAACTATGCATTGAAAAATGATATGGTCCAAAATTTTCTCAAAACCTTATATTATTTTAAGTAACTGGTTTACTTTGCACAGGCATTTTAAAAAACATTTAAGAAAAGATAACTGTGACATCTCATCTCATTATTGAATAAAATCTCTTCATGGTTCCTGGAAACATAAACCTTTGAAAAGCAAAACAAATTAATAGTTGCTTCTACTACCTGTTTGCTTGACAACTACATTATCTTTAGCTCACATCTTATAGTTAATATGACTCTGTTGAATAAAAGAAACACCTATGAAAGCATTAGGAGAATCCAATAACCAAAACTATCATGTGCTTATAATTTAAATTTTTATCAGTATATTTTTTTATCCCCTGATAAAAGCCAAAATGGAAATAGATTACTATTTTATACTTTCATCCTAGCACTGAATAAATCTGATATTTATCCTCAGACAACAACCTATCTTGAGTTTTTTGATAAGGTTAAGAACGCAGCAACTATAGTGTGAAGTCTAGAGCATACCCTAAGGGAAAAGAGAAGGAAGATTGTTTTCTTCCCTCAGTTCTTTGGATCCTCTTCAGGGTTTATATAGTGAGCAAAGAAAAGGGGTTATAAGGTTTATTTAGAGCCATAGCACCTGTGTCTGGTAGAAGAAGACTTTGTCTCCTCTCCTAACAACTATACTAAGTTACAAGGAGCTGTCTCTTTCCGCATTCTATACCTTTTTATCTAAAAATCTATTTGATGTTCTTTTCTGTGTCATCCATTCCAATTATTTGTTGGCATATATAGACTATGCAGTATTGGGCATGGAATAGTTATACAAGTATGTTTTTGAATTAGCAGGGCTGGGAATCATTACTCGTCCAGAAGTGTCATGGCACTGTGTAAGAGAGGTATCATCTTTTTCATCCTGGACTCAAATTAAGATGTGGCTTTCCTACCTAAGGAAAAGAAATATAACACTTCTCATCTCTCAAGAGCAGAGACACCAGCTGGCAGAGGGAACACACGTACAGACAGATGGCTTAGATGAGAGAGACATTTTCAGAGCTAATGGACATAAGCCATTTCTGGATTACCATTTTACATCTCTAGCCCATACAGGGATCAGTAATAGTTAGCTGTCCAAAGCAAATACAGCTGTAACTAGAGATGTCTGAGGAAGACAGCAATGGAGGCCAAATGGAGTACCATTAATACCAAGGATATGCATCACTCTCACAGCTCACTAAGTCACCCTAGAAAGAACACACTAACCATATTTTGAAGGTGTTCTCAGTTTTAGCTTTCAAAGATCAACTGGAGGAAAAAAGATTTTAAGATAAAATCTTGGTGACAGAGTTAGTACCTTAATAATCTCTTATAGTTCACATGCTCTGCCTCATTTCTGAGATTTGAAATTACAAAGATAATTACCCCAAACTAAGTGGAGTTTAGTTTGCTCATGTAAACTTTAACTCATACATGTAAGGCCACAAAGAAGCCAAAGTCACAAACCAAAGCTTAACCAATGAAGTAATTTCTCTATTGAATTAGTTGGTCACAAACCATACGGCCAGATAGATGAAAGGGAGGACAATAAGTGCATATTAATTATGATTCTTTATATAAAAAACTAACATGTTACAAATGAGACTAATTTATGAGAGTAATAGAATTGCTTCAAAACATTTTTATGGCCAGTTTCAAGAGTATATTTTATTTTAGAAGTGATTCATTTAAGGTCTCATTACCTCAAAGTAGTCAATACATATAGAGTTAATAAGCAAATGCTATCTAAAAATGTTCTTCAAATCACACATGATTTTTTCCAAAATGAATTTGTTTAGTTAGTATATTTTTGATATTGAATGTTTACTAAGTGTATAATAAATCAAATTTCTACCATACATTTGAATTAATCATCTGTAAGTTTGGACATGCAAGTATTTCAGTAAAAAAAGACACAAAAATAGTTTGAGTCAAGAAAAGACATCTTAACAGAGAGTTGAAATAATTTTCTAGAAAAGAATCAAAGCAGAATAAGTTTTATAAAAAAAGACAGTTTTATTTCTTTAAAAATAAACCATACACTCTTGCCATAAGTTAAACACTAAATAATAGCTCAATGTTGCTCTCGAATTGTCTTTGAAAATAAAACTACAATTATTTTTTTTAGTTATTTTCTATTAAAATCAGAAAATACAGTTTTTAAAACTTTGCCTGCAGTGAATTCAAAAATGTTTGAAGAATATGTTGTCTTAGAATTGGAAAAAAGTAGCTCTATAAATATCATGGTGGCTAATAATAAAAAAATTATAGATATTGGCATGGATGTAGTAAAAAGGGAACACTTCTACACTGCTGGTGGGAATGTAAACTAGTAAAACCACTACAGAAAACAGTGTGGTGATTCCTTAAAGAACTAAAAGTAGAACTACCATCTGATCCAGCAATCCCACTACTGGGTGTCTATCCAAAGGAAAAGAAGCCATTATACAAAACAGATACTTTCACATGCATGTTTACAACAGCATGATTCACAATTGCAAAAATATGGAAGTAGCCAAAATGCCCATCAGTGAGTGGACAAAGAAACGGGGTATGTGTGTATGTATGTATATGTGTGTGTGTGTATATGTATACACTCACACACACACACACACATATATATATATGATGGAACACTATTCAGACATAAAAAGGAATGAATTAATGGCATTCACAGCAACCTGGATGAGATTGGAGACTATTATTCTAAGTGAAGTAACTCAGTAATGAAAAACCAAACACTGTATGTTCTCATACATAAGTGGAAGCTAAACTCTGAGGATACAAAGGCATAGAACTAATACGATGGATTTTGGGGACTTGTGGGGAAAGGGTGAGAAGGAGTTGAGGGATAAAAGGCTACAAATTGGGTTGTATATAGTGCTTGGGTGATGGATACACCAAAATCTTACAAATCACCATTAAAGAACTTACTCATGTAACCCAATACCACCTGTTCCCCCAAAACCTATGGAAATAAAATAAATAAATGTCATGGTGGCTCATTAGGAGTATTAATATATACTAAGAAAGCAGGCATTCTATTCAAATGAAAAGATTAAAGATTCAAAAAGTAAGAGGCTATAAACTAATACAATTACTTTTCTGCATGGACAAATAAATGATCAAATTCTCATCAAACATTTTGCATTAAAGAAGTTTTTCTATGCTGAAAACTCAAAAAGCTAGAGTGTCTCTTCTCCAAATGACTGCAACACCTCTCCAGTAAAGGCACAGAACTGGGTGGAGGCTGAGATGACTGAATTGACAGAAGCAAGTTTCAGAAGATGGGTAATAAAGAACTTCACAAAGCTAAAGGAGCATGTTGTAACCCATGCAAAGAAGCTAAGAATCATAATAAAACAAGACAGGAGCTGACAGCCAGAATAGCCAGGTTAGAGAGGAACATAACTGACCTGATAGAGCTGAAAAACTCAATACAAGAAATTCACAATGCAATCACAAGTATTAATGGCAGAATAAACCAAGTGGAGGAAAGAATATCAGAGCTTAAAGATTCCCTTTCTGAAATAAGATAGGCAGACAAGAATACAGAAAAAAGAATGAAAATAAATAAACAAAACCTCTGAGAAATATGGGATTATGTAAAGAGAATGAACCTATGACAGATTGGGGTAACTGAACGAGATAA